AAGTGCCCGTTAGAGCTAATTTAATGAACGTTTCTGAGTGCGGCCGTTAATAAGTATGTGTATATACTAGGGATGTTAATTTTTCGGCTTTTTCCGATCCCGGCATTAGTCCCGGGATTTAAATATTCATTACTTTTCAACAACTTTTGTCGAAAAATTGCTTCTATATTGTTTGAGCAGCTCTCCTACCATGAAATAAATAATAAATAAATGGGTTCGAAGCCTACTTTTTTATTTAAAGTGGCGGTTTTATTTTTTCTCTCTGACCACAGGATTTATTTTGAAGGACTTTGTAATTTCAAAGATATGATTAATCCCAAAAATTATTTAAAAAAATTCAATGCAATCTATATATATAAAAATGAAATGTTTTTCGTATGACCCGATGCCTGACCAAACGGCTGAACCGATTTCAATGCTGTAAAAGGTACTATTTTGGACCTTTTTGAAACTTTTTGTTGTTGTTGCCGAAAAATGAAGAAAGCTGAGACGTCACGATTTCACAATTTCATAGAGTTTTCCGCATATTGAATGGCACTAAACTACTAAACGCCTGGACCGATTTGGTTCATATTTGGATACTGTTATACTTCGTTATTCAAACTGTTTGTGCATGCATAGTTGCGAAACATTGCAACATATACATTGCATATTTTAAACAATGAATGTAACAATGACAAATTTTTCTGAGTTTTCCGAGTTTTCACGACACCAATCGGAACCAAAAACAAACGAAGCATCAACTTTGTTTCTGATGCGCTGATTGCTCTAGCGATGCGTTTCAAAAACTTTTCGAATGCGTTTTGGAAAAGTATACATTGTCAATATTTTGTAGTTCGGCGTTATGGAACATTATACTTTGTACGTATGCAAAGCAATTGACGTTTGGGAGGTCAGCCTTTTTCTGGCACGAACGAGAGCGTCTCAAAAAATAGAGTAGCCTTCCGGAGTCGGCGGAAAATGGTAGGCCCCTTCGCTTTGTGTGACAACTTCAAGTCGCACGCCACAAATCGGAGGAAAACCTCGGCCAAACAGTAATATATTGCGTAAGCGCCAATCTATTATATAATTCGAAAATATATAGACTCTAGCCCATCTAGCTCACTAATTTGGTTACGTGGAGTGATATACTTACGCCCACTCAATTATATCTGCGTATACCTTCGGCCAAATTCGTCAAGCGTACCAGGAAAAACATTTTATGGCAGTATTTTGTTCAAACTCCACCACGTTGTTGCTATGGTTGCTGGTAACAAATGTGTAGGAGAATTTTTTCGACACTGAGTTACCAGAAGCCCCAACAAAATACACGTAAATGTTGTTTTTACTCTAATGCTACTACCAGTTTAATATGCTTTGATTTGTGTAAATTCCTATTCACTTGAAAGTAGAAATAGAAATTTTAAATTTCTTTAAAATTTAATTTATTTTCTGCAAACAAAAACAAGCCACCTACATCCATAAATATTTAGATTTGTAAATGCAAATAGGCTAAATTCATATGTAGCCACGTATGTATCATGCCAGAGTAGAAAAGTCCACTTTTTGTGAAAACTCATAATTTGATATAAGAAGCAAGAGAAATTGAAAATGGTTCCATTGTTGTTTCCAAAAGAATTCAAGTGCTTTTTTCTTCCCGTTTATATTCAATGAAAGGCAAAGTTGGTAAATACAAATGAGGCTCAAAAAATTCGAGAAGAACAAAATAAAACGAAATCTTTGAATTAACATCGACTCCTACTGATTTGTAATACGTTTTGCTCTGCTTTAAACACCCAAAATGTATTAGATATTCAAAGTTTTGAAAACACTCCTGTAAATTTTGAAAAAATTAAAAATGTACTAAAAAAGTATTCACTCTAAGCCTGCGATATTTAAGTAATTGTAATAACTGGTAGACGGTACGCTGAAAGCAATGTACTCCTATGCTCTCATTGCTGGATGGTTTTTGCGGGTTGGAAAAATTACGATCTAGAGGATTTCCATCCATTACCATATGTACATATTTATGTATGCCCATTAGACTGTCCCAAAAAAAATAAAAAATTTTAATTCATACCCCCTAATTTTACTAGTTTTGTTTTAAAAGCTATTCGAATCGAGCTTTATGCCATTCGGACCACGGCAACCCGTGCCGACTTGCAGTCAAAGTTATCAAAATAAACTTTGTGCAGTCTCCGACTAACACTCGAACCGAGCAGTTGTGTCCGTAATCTCTTTCTCGTATAGTGTTTATTTCACGTGCTTTTCATTTCTTCCATTTTCTTCTCAAGTAAGTTATTTTTCTGTGAATAATTTCTTGTTGGTGTACTGTGAAGTGAACCAATCATATGGAAGTGTCCCCACCGTTCCCCTCGGGGAATTGGTTTGGCATACTGGCTGACAGCATGCTGAAATCCCCCAAATCTAAACGTAAAAAACCTACCAACTCTACAAAAGAAGCATTTCCTACTTTGCCTGTACCATCGAAAAACAACAACCAAAACGACCCTAAATTTATTGTTGTCAAATCGACTGACGTATCTAATCCACTCTCTAAATACAGCGTTTTTGCTAAAAAAAAAGCACTTGACAGCATTAGCACTGAATATACTTCAGTAAATATACTTCGTGACGGGAGCCTTCTGGTTCTTACCAAATCTACTAAAATAGCTGAAAAGTTTATAAAATGTAAGAATTTTGGTGGTCTTTGTCCGGTTTCCATTGATTTTCACGGAGCTCTTAACTGTTGTAAAGGAACAATTTATGACATTAATCTCGCAAACACAAGTGAACAAGAGATTCTTGACGGTCTTAAGTCTCAGGGTGTTGTTGCCGTCTATAAATTTACTAAAGATCGCAACGGTATAAAAAGTCCAACAGGCAGAATTGTCTTAACGTTTAACCTATACAAAGTGCCATCTGTCATTGACGTTGCTTGGTATTCTTTGAAAGTAGAAGAATATTTTCCTACTCCAATGCGATGCCGTAATTGTCAACTGCTCGGTCATACTCTAAAAAGATGCAACAACAATCCCACATGTGAGACGTGTAATCTCCCCCCACATAACCCAGAAAAATGCCAACGCCTGATGTGCGCGAACTGTTTTGGTTCCCACTCGGCTTCTGACAAAGACTGTCCTCAATACTTGCAACAAAAACAAATATTAAAAATAAAAACACAAAACAAGTGCGACTTCAAAGAAGCTAGACGCTTGTACAAGATCCAAAACCCGGCAAGCATAAACCACAAGCAAACATACTCCTCAGTCACAATTGCAGCACCACCACCCTCCCTTCAGCCTAATACACTTAGCCCAAATACTGTGTTTCACACCAGCAGCTCTAAAATCTCTTCCGACTCCATACTCAGCAACAGCAACAACCTCAGCACTATCGATTTACCTACAATTCTCTCTTCCTACATCGCTTCACATAATAGTATACCCTCTGAAACTCACGTAACCGATCTCAATTCAAACAACACACAGCCACCATCTACCATCCCCCCGCAACCCACCACCGACCACACTCAAATCCCAAAATCTCTTTCAGTCCACAGTTCTCTTTCCAGCGAAACCAATACAAACTCTTTAGCCAGCACACAGCACAAGATCGCCGATACGTACTCCCGCCGAATCCCTTTGTCTCTTTCGACCCACAATAGTTACATTGCAGATCACTCTCCTCCTCTCAGCCTCCAGCAAACGGACTGTGTTGATACAGCCTCGACTCTCTCGGCGACTGCAGAGCTTTACACTAACAACTTTGACAACGATCAACAAGAACCCGTACTATAGGTTATTTCATTGCAAAATAACCCAAGTAGTAAATTACTTAATATAAACAATTAGTTATGATACTGAATATTCTTCAATGGAATATGAAAGGTTATCTAAATAACTACATAGAACTGGAAACCCTCATTAAAGATCGGAACCCGCATATTGTCTGCCTTCAAGAAACCCATTTAAAATTTAACTCCTCGCCACACAAACCAAAACATTACTCAGCCTACTTTCACAATTTCTCTAACTTTAATTACTGCAAACAGGGTTGCGGATTGTTAATCCACAAAAACATTCCACACAAAATCAAAAGCATAACATCCAATTTGTCAGTGGTTGCAGTAGAAATAAACGTTAAATTTCCAATCACAATTTTCTCCTTATACATACCTCCAGATAAAACTTTTACACACTCGGACTTATTTCAACTTATATCCAGCGTTAATACCCCCGTAATCCTCTGTGGTGACTTCAACAGTTGGAGCCCGCTATGGGGTTCACCAACTGCTAACCATAGAGGTACAATAGTTGAAGATTTCATACTGAATTCAAATCTCTCAATACTAAACAACAATAGCCCAACTCACTTTTCAACCCACAAAACGTTCACGCACATAGACCTTACCATTTGTTCAGCCCAGTTACTTCCCCTCGCAACATGGTTTACACTAGAAGACCTGCACAACAGCGATCACTTCCCCATTATATGCACTATTTCACTATCAATCCCAAATACTTTATACCGCAATAACACCGTCAAATACAACACATCCAAAGCTGACTGGAATAAATTCCAAAACATTCTGCTTTCTAGTTACTTCCATCCCTTTGAAACACATAACTTAAACAAAGTAGCTGCCAATATCCAAAAAAACTTTCGAGCAGCAGCAAATTCTTCCATCGCTCTCACCTCCATTCGCGCTACGCAAAGAAAAGTTCCATGGTGGACAGCAGAGACCAATGTGTTGCGTAACAATAAAGTGTTAGCCTGGAGAAAATATCAAAAAACGCCCTCCTATGCTAACTTAGTCGCTTACAAAAAATGCAACGCCGCTTTTAACAAAGAAAAGAAACTAGCAAAGAGAAAGTGTTTCGAAGAATTCACAAAGAAACTAAACCCTAACTCTTCAGTTAGTAGCATCTGGAAGGGAATAAAGACCCTTACAGGGATATACACGCCGAAAACCACCCAGGCTGTAACAGTGAACAACGTAGTCTTTACCGATCCGTTTGCGATCTCAACAGAATTTGCTAGACACATATCTTCCTCTCAACATAATAACTTTACAAATAACATCCCACATATGCAGCCCGCTCACCGCCCAGATAATCTGGCCCTGCAACTTGAAAACGACATTAACTTGAACGAACTAGAAACAGCGCTTAAAACCGTGAAAGGTACAACCCCTGGACTAGACAAAATCAACTATCAAATGTTGCGATTTAGCCCAATGGTTGTCAAGAAACGTATACTTCAGCTTTATAATGGTATTCTTAGCACTAGCATTATTCCCCAAAATTTTAAAACTGCGATTATAGTCCCGATAGCCAAGCCAAACAAAGATCCTGGCTACATTGACAACTACCGACCAATATCTCTGATACCTTGTATTAGCAAAGTCTTGGAAAAAATTATTTCAACTAGACTCACTTGGTTTCTAAATAAAAAACGTCTTATTTCTGCATCTCAAGTGGGGTTCAGGAGCGGTACGAGCTGTCTGGATGCCCAGATTTACCTCGATCACCAAATCGCCAAAAACCTTTCCTCTAGAAACCATGTCTCTGTGTTATCAGTAGATTTTACTAAGGCTTTCGACAAAATTAGTGGTCATGTCGTGTTAAAAAAGTTGCAGGACTGGAAACTTGGGCCTAAGATTTTTAATTTCATAAAATCTTTCCTCTTTAACCGAAAATTTCGATGCAAAGTAAATGGCATCATATCACCTATATTTCCCTTACAAAATGGACTTCCGCAAGGGTCACCGCTTTCGGTAACTTTATTCCTAATAGCGTTTGAAGACGTTAGCCGACTGATTAGTCAACAAAATAATATTAAACATTGCTTATATGCCGACGATTTGTTCTTAATATCTAACAATAAGAACACATCCGGCGTTCAAAATGAGTTCAATAATGCATTAACTGCGATCGATAGTTGGGCGCAACATTCAGGTGCTATCATTTCACTTGAGAAATGCAAGCATCTGCATGTTTGTAGAAAACTTAGCTGCAACAAAATAACCATAAGTCACAATAACTGTACTATTCCTAACGTGGATTCTCTTAACATACTAGGAGTTACGTTCGATAATAAACATTGTTTTAAGCAACATTGTATTACATTAAGAAGCGAACTAGCTACCAGGCTCAACATTATAAAATATTTAAGTTCTAAGAAAAGTTTAGTACACACTAACACTTTACTCAGCATCACCCAACTAACCATACAAAGCAAAATCGATTACGGATTACAAATATACGGAAAATGTAGCAAGGACTCCCTTAACAAAATCAAACCGCTTCTCAATGCAGCTGTGAGGTGTAGCCTTAGAGCGTTCAGATCAACTCCAACAAAAAATCTACTGGCCGAAGGCGGCTTTTTACCAATCGAGGAGCGATTGCAACTCCTATACGGTCGAATAGCCTACAAGCTGCACTGCAACGCGTCTCACATTTTACACCACGACGTACGGCTTCTGAAACACAGAAAAACCAGGTTTTCACGCAAATCTACGCTATGCGAAGTCAAAGAACTCGCAGACTCTATGCATATTGGGGCATCCTTTATGAGTATTCCATCCACAAAACATCCACCCTGGTGTCTTAACACGAATATTTTCATAAGCGATCTAACACGTCTACGAAAAGACACAACCAATAATGCTGCCTACCAGAACTCATTCCGCAGTATCGCCAACCCACTGAAGGATAGTGGATGGTTGTTCCTGTATACAGATGGCTCCAAGCAAGATGACGGAGTTTCGTTTGCGGTAGTAAATAACGATGGCGACACCATTTCCTGTGGCCTCCTCCCCAACTATGCGAATATATTCGACGCAGAACTGCAGGGCATTCTTTCAGCGTTAACCATAGCTAAGTCTCTGGGCAACAAAACTGTTATATGTACTGACAGCTCATCGGTTTTCAATGCAGCCAAACGTATACACACGCAAGAAGATCCAATATACCGCGTTCAACAGTTACTAATGTGTTTATCGCCCAAGGTTAAACTTATGTGGATTCCCGGCCACGCAGGTATCTCAGGCAATGAACACGCCGACCGAGCTGCTAAATTGGCTTTGAATTCATGCCTCTATCCGCACATGCCGTTTGGGAAAAAATCGTTCAAAAACATTTTCTCAAAAGCGTTAAAATTACATTTCGAGAACAAATGGTCTAACTATCAACACCAATACAAGCAAATAAACCCTGAGGGCCGTGGTATCATTCTACCAACAAATACAACAACCTGGATGAATAAATGTTTTATACGCGTCAGATTAGGTCACTCTCTTCTTACTCACGAACACCTTTTACACAACGCACACCAGCCGACTTGTACATTTTGCAACGAATCCGACCTAACCATTCGCCATATCATATCAAGTTGCCCCGCTTTAACCTCCGTACGTGCCCATTTCTTCGCTGATAATGATCCTTTAGATATACTCTCATGCTCTTCAGAAACTAATGTAAAAACTATTTTTAACTTCTTAAAAAATGTAAATATTGCACATTTATTATAATATAATATAATATTTTCACATAATGACTAGCCGATAGCCTTGGTAGCTAGTGCTATAAATGTATTAATTTATAATTTTAATTGTAAATTAACTAATAAATAATAATAATAATAATAAACTTTGTGCAGTGCGCATGTTTTGTTAATTTACTCATTTTACTTCTGTATAAGGCGGTATTACTATACTCCACAGTATTAGGATATAATATTTAGTAAATCTGCGTTTTTGGTTTTTTACGAGGTAGCCAGGATTTTATCCAAAGGATCATAAATTATAATATACATATTTCCAAAAGTTCTTACAAAATATGTATGTATATATGAGTATCAATTGAAAAAAAGATTCGAAAAAAGAATGATTATAACTTTCTTTTTCAGTTATCCTTTGGGGCATGTCAAAAACGTCCTTTAAAAATGTTATCCTTCAAGATTTTTAATTTTTTTGAATGCATTTGGAAAAATCTGAGTTTAATTAAAATCATATGAACACCCATAAGGTTATTAAAGGATACAAATTTCAAAGGATAATTTTAAATTTTTTTAATTAATGGTAATGTTCAGAAGGCGCAACAACTCAGTAACTGTAGCGATTGCACCTTCTGAACGCATTGTTTTGTACTTCTGATCAACTGAACAGTTGGGTGTTAGATTATCATAATATTTTTCTGATCATTTGAGACAAGATGTTGTGTGTTATTGAATTTGACAGCTAATGAAGACCCATTACGATCACTGATTTTTTTAGCAACATTTGCGCTCAATTGCTGCGCCTTCTGAACCTACCCAATGCTTCCACATTTGTGCCTTAATCAACCTGCGAGCACATGCCAAAGACTACAACACTTTATTTTGTTTATTTAATATTATGAAACTATTTTTTTTAAGGAGGAGGAGAATTTGTTAAAAAAGTTGAATTTTATAATTCAATGATCATACGCCCTGTCACACCAATTAAAAAATTTTCTACAATTGCAAATTTTCAGGAAATACCCTTACAAAGCCACTGGGAGAAATCCTGCCGTCCGATTAAAAATATAGAGATGTAGACTTACAGTTTTGCTGGACGATTTGGTAGCCCTTATTCAAATTATTAACTAAAACTTCAACTTAAAGCTGTGATGGGCAGCGTTGGCAGAACTCTATAAGCATGTGCAAAACTTTTGCCTGACTTAAATTCGGAACGGGTTATCGTTATCCTACGGCCATAAAACTACATAAATATTGTATTTAGGCTAAAAAAGCATAACTACAGAGGGTATGCATATCC